ATGGACTGTTTTACCGATGTCCTTACTACGTTTCTGGACCTGGGAACATTACGTTGCTGTCTATGGAGGGTCAGAGAGCTCTCAGATTTCATCAAAAATATCTTAATGTGTTCTGAAGATGAATGAAGGTATTACAGGTTTGGAACGACATGAGGGTGAGTAATTAATGACAGAATTTTCATTTTGGGTGAACTAACCCAATCCACACGGTTCTAGGGGTTAATAAAGGCCTTCTGAAGCAAATCGATATGTTTGTGTAAGAAAAATATCCATATTTAAAATTTTATAAACCGTAATCTGTAGCTTCCGCTAACTGTTTCTACGCACGTTCACGAGAGAGTGGTGTTCCAGCGGATGACGTAGGCGTAGAGTAAGCTCCCCATCACTTCGCTTCAGAAGTCATATACACCTAGAATGGCTTGAGGGTGAGTAAATCATGGGGTAATATTAATTTTTGGGTGAACTATCCCTTTAAATCAACAGAAAATGCATAATGTTGGGGAAAATAAAAGTATTGCAAAAAGAAAAATGCCTATATTTAATTGTTATATTCTGTGATCGTGACAAGAATTGTGATATTTTCTTTTTTTGTGAGACATTATAGTTGGTGAGAAAGTACAAAATGATTCCTTCAGTAATTTTGTTGACTAGATTAAAAATGTACACAAGTTTTCATCAGTCCAAATGGAAAAACTGTTTACAAATTGTGTTGGAAGCAATTAGTAGCAACACATTTGCCTTAATTTCATCAGTGCTGTCTGTGCAATACTTTGCAGAGACTATTCTGCACTGGATTGCAATGTAAAAATGTAACTGCAATGTAAAAAATGTAAAAGTTGCAAATAAAGATTATTGGAGTACGTTTTACAAGAAAATACTAATACTTAAAAATTTCACATTTAAGTCAATGTGTTACTTGATGTTTCTTTGTAATTAGTTGAGGGATTTACTACCAATTTCTGAGAGAAAATTGTTTCTACACCAAATTTTTCCAGTGTGATCGCTTTACAGATGTCTCTTACTAACTCCTAGGAGCGCAAAACAAGGTACAAATTAAAACTCTGTGTACTGGTTTCTGTGTGCCAAAACAAGCAGCCAAACGAATGAGAATTAAACAAAAAATTGCAAAAAAAAAATTTACAAAGGAGGAGTACACTTTATAATGTGTACATCTCTATGATAAGTCCTATATCGAAGCAAGTGTTGAGCACAAAGCGTGTTGATTTTTTTGCTAAAAATCCCAGGTTGATCTTTTTTTTTTCTTCAATGAGACAATCGCATACTCCATTTGATTACCTGAATCAGGTGTGTTTGATTAAAGAGACATGCAAAACGTGCAGTGTTGGGGTGCCTCCAGGACCAGGGTTGGGAACCACTGCATTAGAGAACCAAAACTGCAGATTTAAGGTCATATACAGTACATGTTTATTGAAATATGACTGAAACTGCAAGTATTTGTTGTGTGTGCAGTGTATTTTCTTAATTTTTTAATTAAAAGTATGCAGCTGTTAGCTTAGCAACATGCTAATGTAAGATTATAGAAATCCACTGTGAGGGTAACTTCTTTGAGCTCTTCAGATTAGTCACTTCAAATTTGATTGCTATAATGTCTTAGAAGATACCTGCCTATGTGGACAGTAGGTAAACACAGCAGACAGCTAGCTAGGTTTTGGAACAGAGCTAATGCTAATACAACACTACCTACACACATGCTAGTTTTCAATATATACTATAAGATTTAACAGCTCATTATGGATACATCTGTTATAAGATGTAAGAACCCTTGTGAAAAAGTGCACTTAATTATACTGAATGTGCATTTGTAGTGTACTTTGAAACTTTAAAGTGTATTTAAAAAAAAAAACTGTTCTTTCAGATAATATTTATGAAATAAAAAGTCAACTCCCTTAAGAAAATTAACTATGGTTTCACTACAAATAAAACATGGTTAATATAGTTGAACTATGATGACTACAAATTAACCTTGGCTTTGTTACACTTAACCATAGTTTAATCATGGGATCTGTAGTTATACAAATGGTAATCAATACGCCCAAAAAAAAAAAGTTTACTACACTTTTAATATAACAAAACTGCGGTTAATTTTCATAAGGGACTTTCGGGAGTCATATAATCATTCGTCGTAAAGAAGTATTTTAATGTGTAGGCTAACATAATGGAGCACATGTAAAGTACTTGATTATAATTTTAACTACAGTCAAAGTTAAAACATTTTAAATGTAATACATTGCCATTATCATCACATTAAATTACATACGACAAACACGTTTCAAATTAAAGTATATTTTCATTTTCCATAAATGCTTATCAGTACTTTCAGCAGAACAAGCAATAGTGAAATTACATATAAAGATGTACTAAATTCCTACAGAAGTAGGTCCAAAAAAATAAAAAATCTGTAATAGGTATGCTTTTTAAACAAATGCTAAAATGCAACTCATTTTCACAATGGAAGGCTTAGGAGAAAATCTTAAAAATAATGGGCGTGTCAATCCTAAATTTAAGACTCTTAAATTTTTGCTCGAAGAGTTATTTCACAAAGCATTTTAGCGCTAAAACTAGCTCCTAAATCTGTGAAATGTTAGGAGTAAGGAAGAGGACTCCAAAGTCACTAAGACCAAATCACAATCTATCCTCCCTGCTGAAAAAAAACAAAACAATACAAACCATCACAGAAATTCTAATGTTTCCACTACTAATACCATTATAAACATTACAAACCATCAACTTTTAACCATTAAAAAATTGATTAGGATTTAGTGGTTTTAACAAGCCACCTATAGAAGGTGACCAATTACCAGTAGAGACCAACAGGCACCATTACATTTACCATTAAAACCAGTAAAACCATAAAAAATTATGTGATGGTTTCTATTGTTTTTTTCAGCAGGGCTAATTTGGCTCTTGCCGGCAATCTGCCTCGAAAAGGCAAACGTTTTTGAAACACTCCGCATTTATTTGCACATATATGTTTTCCCAAGCAGCTTTTTTTGGTTTTGGAGGTTATCCCAACTCAAATTTTCCTTTGATTATATCCTTGTTTTCATTAACAAGTTGGGCAAGAAGCTTTTCTTCCTCCCATTTTGGTTTTCTTTTCCCATGCTATGAATTGTAACATTAAAAAGGAAATTTAACTGGGTGCTTTGAGTACCCAGAAAAAGCACTATATAAATGTAACAAATTCATTATTATTATATTTATTTAGAGTGCAGACATTCTTTAATTTTCAAATGAAAATCAAATGAGATGGCATATCTTTTGTTTGTTAATTGTGTAATCTGCAATAATTATCAATTAATAACTGTATAATTTATTAATATAATATTTTATATCAAAATAATAATATTATAAACAGGCATAGTCCATTTATGCAATATACAAAATTTTTTTAATTTTGAATTTCCAGCACAAGCACATGGTTCAGGTAGATTTTGAAAAAGTTTTTGAAAAAGTATCTTAAGTAAAACTCAGCGGTGCATTTATTTGATCAAAAATACAATAAACAGCAATATTGTGGAAATATTATTACAATTTTAAAAAACTGTCTTGTATTTTATTTCAAACAATATTGTGAAATATTATTACAGCTTAAAAAATACATAAATTTCAAAATGTAATTTATTCCGGTCATACAAAGCTGAATTTTCAGCATCATTACTCCAGTCTTCAGTGTCACATGATCCTTCAGAAATCATTCTAATATGCTGATTTGCTGCTCAAGAAACATTTTTTAATTATTATCAATGTTGAAAACAGTTGTTTCTCTTAATATTTTTGTGGAAAACATGTGGAAAGTATTTTTAAGGATTCTTTGAAAAAAGTTCAATAGAACAACATTTATTTGAAATAGCAATTTGTGACCATGTAAACATCTCTGATTTTACTTTTTTTATAAGTTTAATGTGTCCTGGCTGAACAAAACTATTTTCTTAAAATCTTAAAGGGCTCCTATAATGCAAAATCTTCTTTTACAGGTTGAACACAACCACCCTACAATGATAAAAATCCACCCACTCCTTATTTTAATCCCCATTAAACCAAATCAGTCTCACTAGGCCTGCCGTTTTGATTCTCTAAGCAATATGACATCACATTGTTTAGGCCTCGCCCACAGCCTTTGACTGACAGTCCTGCATTGCCATAGTTTCTCCCTTAGCGGTTGTACGCTGTCCTCCATTTTCTCTGCACTCGAGCAGCTGTAACGTCACCAATGTCTCGTAAGCAATCCGTTTGGATATAAGACTGAACATAAGAGTCTTCATTTTCTCCCAACAACTGAGCCACTGAGGACGCAGTGGATTACTTCTATTTTTCAAGGTAATGCGCCTCAAAATCTACCTAAATATGTATGTCTGCACAAATCATTTCACTCTAGACTGGTTTGTGAATGTCATGTCGTTACAGTGCTTAGCTAACATTTTAACTTTGATTAAGGAGACATGCAAAACGTGCAGTGTTGGGGTGCCTCCAGGACCAGGGTTGGGAACCACTGTTTTAACTGATCAGCGCCGCGCTGGTGAGATTAGTTCCCGCCGCACTGTCCGTTCGGTAGCGCTAGCAAACACGTCCTCCCTGCATTGTTGAGTCAGCGTGGCACGAACTCGGTAACATTGCGCTATTTCGTCCCACTTTCGGTGTGTTTGGCTTCCCATATGTACAGCTGAACACCGGCTCTCTCGCTCTCAGTCATGTTGCTTTTACCGGCTGTTTATTGCTGTAGGAATGCAAATGTCCGCTATGCCCTCTTCTGAAGATGGGGCGGGAAGAAGCAGCTCATTTGCATTTAAAGTGATACACACTAAAACAGCTCTTTTTAGATGCCCCAAAAATGACATTTTCCAGATGTTATAATAAATGATCTGTGGGGCATTTTGAGCTGAAACTTCACAGACACATTCTGGGGACACCCAAGAGCATTACATTATATTACATCTTGTAAAAAGGGGTATAATAGGTGCCCTTTAATGACCCCAACCTTTTGAATGGTAGTGCATTTTGCAATATATATCATGAAGAAAGAAAAAAAAACATTTTGGTCATACCACCCACCACTATCATATACACATCTTAACAGCCTACCTGGGGAAGTCCTCATCTTGCCACTCCTCCTTTAGCTCCACCCCTTCCATTCTCAGCCGCGCCTCTGTGGTAGCAACTGACTCCTGGTGCTCAAAACTGAAGGATAAAAAAAAAAAAAAACGAACCATTTGGCAGCCGTTTTGGTTTTAAAACAGCCCTAGTTCATAGCATGTTATTCACTCACTAAAAAAACCAATACGTCCGAGTTGAAAGAGTCCAGAAGTCCAAATCTGATACCGGCTGATAGTCATTCATCACAGAGCTACAAACTGCTAGTAAC